AGCATAATCAAGTAAATTAATAGTTCTTATTGATTTCACGACACAAATGTAAAGTGGTTCATGAATGAATATATTAAAATTTATCTAAAGAATTTACTATAACAATTGACGGATGTTGTTATTAACTGTATACAATTTAAAAAACAGAGAATGAAAACTCTATCTTTAATATTTTGGTCGTCTTCAAAGCATTGCAATTGACTCTCCATAATCTCTGTGAACTTTGGAGCTATGTCATCGACAAAAGTGGAACCCCAAGGTGTCGTCAGACTATTGACAGAATCATTATATTGGGGTAAAAGAATTAGACTTTACCATATTTCACAAAGAATGCATAATGTTCCAAATCCCACATTTTTTTAATTAAAGTTCTTTCCAATGTTTCATCTAGTGGGAGAAGTATAATATATTGATTATCTAAATTCAAATTGGATACTAGAATTCATGTTTTGACAACGGAAGAACAATACAATCTCATCATATCAGTATAAGCACCTATTTGATGTTTATTAGAAAGAATTTTTTTTGGGAAAAATGAGTTTTGGAATGGTTTTTTTTTGATAATATGGTTGAAAGGTAATAAAATATTTTATTGTGAGACTGTGATTGAAAGTGAGTTAAAAAAAGAGTTTTTTGGGGAACGATAGACAAATAAGAGTTAAATGCCAGTAATCACAGCTTCAAATTGTTCTAGTATTTGGGAATGATATCATTATAAATTTATGAAAATAAGCAGATAAAGATATTTTTATCTTGGTCTTTTCACATGCCAAAGGTTGATGCATATGGAAGCCAATTTTAATAATTTTTCATATTAAATTTAATATAAAAGAAGAAATTCACTAAGTAATGGTAAAACATTTCTCTCTCATTACAATATCATTTAAATAATAACAATGGGTGAAAAATCGTGGTGGAACCTTTTGAAAAGGTACATGAAATTCACGACAATTTATAAATGTTGACTTCAGTAGAGACGACTTTTGATATCTCAATGTGTAAAATCTCACAACAAACTACTCTGCTTTACAAAAATATGGTACATTAAAACAATTATTTATATTATTTGTAACATGAGGATCAAAAATATTTTTATTATGGATATGTATTATAAGTGAGACTGCATATATGATACAACAGATTGGTTTGTTCAACAGCTATCACATCCCCAGGAAAATTGATTCCAATTGAGTTAGTAAACAAAGAATTAGGCGGAGAAGTTTAATGAGAACACATGAACCATTGCTGTACAAAATTGATATACTTCGGAAAAAAAGTTGATGCGCCAAATGCTTTACACCATACAAGACATAAAAATTTCTTGCATAATAAATACAGTTAAATATTAAAGAAAAATGAATGGTATGATTCAATATAACGATTGTTTCCATCTCAGAAAAACAAGCTTTGCAGCGTGCATCATTTAGCCTTTGTTTGGCCCTACTGAAATTATAATTTTTTTCTCTATCTTCTTATCAACCATATATTCTTCAATAAAATAATATTACACATTATCCTAAACTTTTTTTCTTTTTTAATCACACAATTAAAAAAAATACTATTCCAACAATTAAAATTTCTAATAATGGGGGCTAAATGGTGACTTACTAAAAATGGATAACCAAATACAAATGGTGTATAATCAAAGCAGGAGGCTATGCTAGAAGAAGAGTAAAGTCGTAATTAAAAAAAATGTAAACGACCCGATATGTTAGAACTTGTCATTGAATGCACAATTCCATATATTCACATACTAGTGAGTACTAACGGATTAAGTTCGATAAACTAAATAGAAAGAAATGGACCGGCAAAAAATTGAAAATAATAGAATATCATCTTACCCAAACTAATTAGTAGCTTTAGAAAAAGCTTTCTTTGGACAAAGTCTCAGTTCATGTATATAAATTTCCTCAAAGAACCAAATTTAACAGTTTCAAGGTGAAGACATTGCCAACATATTATCTAGTCACAAAGGCGATTAATTTGATTGGTCTCAAAACTAGTCAATACATGATCGGATATATCATGCTGTAATTTCTTCTTATTCTCTTTTGCAAAATCATCAAATGAACTCTTTGAGCCAATGACTTGTAGCACCCGAACTTTTTCGAGATCGGGGTTAGAATGCTTCCACTCAGAAAAATTAACTTATTTAATGCCAATATGTATAAATATTTAATGGCGGCCTTTTTTTACATTTCTATAAGATTTACATTTTATGTAAATCTTCCATTTCCTGATTAATGATCACTTCCAGAGTATTTGCACATTTTGCATAAGTAATAATTGCGCGACTATTATCCATTGCATAGCTCCTTTTCTAATTGGCTCCAACAAAACCTTTTGGTATATAGTCTTCGTGATAAAATTTTAAATAGAAGTTAATATCTTTAGTTGAATTATGATAAAGTAATGGAAAAGAATAAAACAACCAACTTAACATTAAAAAAAAAAAAGAATAAATTTCAAAAAGTGCCAATCCTTAAATTGGGAGATGCTCTTCCCCCACATTAAAGAAGCTTGAGCTTCTTGCGTATTTTCTATATTCTCATATATGCTTGTGATTCACAAATAATTAAGATAAAATAATGATATATAACATAAACATTCCATCCTACATATAAAAGAGTGGAAGAATTAACGAGTTTCAAGATGTCAATAGTTGAGTAGTTCTCACTTTGTGTGTTTGACCTGTTGATTAGTGGTGTTTTTCAAAAATATTTTTTTCATTCTATCTGTCGGTTGTATCCTTAGTTCTAATATTCCAGTTAAGCAAAAGATCATTTGCTACACAAAGAACTATTTAAGTGATTTTTGTTCTTGTTGAATAATAAGAGGCTACATCATAAGTTTGAGTTACATAGATGAGTAATATTGTTCATACTATTAGGCATTCTTTTGTGTGGTGAGAGGGAAAGAAGCACTCTCATTCACAGATCCTTTATCGGCTCCTCCAGCAACTGTAGTTTTTTGGTTAATTTGATTGCACCTTCTTTTATGCATGTTTATTTGTTAATGTTAGCTGTCAATTGCTTTTGTCGTTTTAGTAATTCTATTTTCAGTAACCTTTGGTCTATTTCCTACTACTGGATGAAAATTTTTAATTATTACATTGTATCAAGTTTCGAATTGTTTTTTCAACGATGTCATCTTGGAGTATTACGCTAGATTCCTATCTTATGATGATTTCGATATTCCTTTTCCAATTGTCATGCTATTATCAATATTAAGGTGATAATTACAGATAAGTTTGATCATTGACGACTTTATATGAGAAGATCGATTGTCAACATGGCCCATTGTTGAAATTGGTTCTACCATGAAATGTTGTGCCCAGTGTTCTAGGGGTGCTACTGATCAGTCCTTACAACATGTGATGTCAATCTTCTATTGATTTGTGACTTTGTTTAAAGCTACAACACTTTTTACAGTGCAAATGTTGTTTGTTCTTTTCTGATAATAGTGATTCTTCCTATTTCTTAAAATTCTTCTGAATGTTGGTAGTATCTATTGTTTTAACAATTTCAGAAAGTAAGTTCTTCTTGGATTTTTACCAAGTTAATAATATATAATAGGCCAAGCCAAAAATGAGAAATGATTGCTTGTTCTCTAAGTAACTTTAACAATATTGCCTAACTGATTAGCTGATCATATTCTATTAACTATTTATGTGTTTACAGGTTGAGAATGTTAAGCAACATTGTTTTCCTATTTTCCTAATGCTTTTAATTGTCCCATGCTGGAAGAGAATGACTTCAGAAATGATAGTGTGAGTTGTTTTTGATTTCTTTTTATTTTTAGGAATAGAGAAAGTATACCTATTATTTCACACAATTACAAAAATCTATAGCTCTATGAGAGCCATATGTGGTGTTGGCATGGTTAAGGGATTCGAAAAGACCTTGTACATGACCAAAGGTGGTGGTGCTAATGTAGTAGCCTACAGTTACACCAAGTGTGATGCCCTAGGTGCTGAAATTGTCGTTACCTCTGTGCTCGTTTACAATATTTTCTCTACTACTGATGCCAAACATAAAGTTAGAGACTCACAAGTTCCTATAAGCATTCCACCTGTCATTGTAGGCCTGTTTCTATTGACATTATTGATTAGACTTAAGCGAATATAAATCATTCTTCATATTAGGTATGATTAAATGTGATTGAGCTTGAACAAGAATTGTCTTCTGTATCTATAAGAATCTCTATTTAGGTTTGGATTTGAGTTTATGTATATTCTATACATTCATTTTACTTTATTTATGACATTTCTTGATTACTAAGATAAATCAATATCTTTGGCTGATGAGTGTGTGTTAATATAAGTGGTTCCTCACCTATCATATTCTCAAACGTCCTTGTTCGGAGCATATTTGGCTAAGCTTAAGCTTTACTTATATTTATTAGGTGAATAAGTAAGTTGTGTAATAAGCATATTTTTTATTGGTCAAGGTTGTAACTTGTTATTATTTGAAAGTAAGAAGGGTAAACGCGTTTGTAAATAATGTACTTTTTTAAGCGTAGCCAAGTATTCAAAGAGTTATTATTTTCCATGATTTTAGCTATTTTTGTTTTGTTTTTTAGTGTTGATTTATGTATTTTATTTAATCGATCAAGATGAAGATGTAAGAAATGTTGAATACAGAGTATGGAATCCTTTCCACTCGAAATTGATAGTTGCCATTCTTGGTGGAGTCAGTGATACTTGTCTAATATTTTATTTATATCTATTATCCTGATAAGATGTGTGTTTTTGTCATTAATGTTGATGCATTTTATATATCCAATAATCTTATCTGCACAATTTACTTTCTGGTCTATTTGGTTTTGAAACCTGGTGCTCGGTATCTTTTATCTAGGAGCTACTTCAAGAACAATTATTTCTCATCTATATAATTTTGTTGGCCCTGCAAGTAATTTTCTTTGTCAGAGCTCTATCATTTCTCCATATATTTCATGGAGTGGTGTTTATGAAATCCTGTTTGTAATTACGTTGTTTGCAGACTGGAATGGCATACGCAATGAAATTTTCTCACATAAGCAATAGGGACTTGGTCAACATGACGAATAAGAGGGTGAATGTTATTCCTTTTTTTGAATCATTTTTGCAAACTACGTTGAGAAAGACCAACCTCCTATGTACCATATTCTTTTTGTACCTCGAAAGGGAGAGCGGGACCATGCATGTTGCCGCCAGAAGCAGAACCCCATATTTCTTCTATCATGATTAATCTTCCATCTACTCATCCATCTACAGATAGTGTGTGTGCATAATCTGAACAAGGTGCTGCTCATGCCATTATATGAGGGAAAATAGACTTGGAAAAGGAATCGTGGCCAAGCATTCAGAAAGTGTCAAGAGTCTTGTGTGAAAGATATTGGAGCCACATCCTAAACTTCGACTCACTACAAAACAATTTCTGGGTAAAATATTGTTCGCGTTTGCTAAGTTATTTAAAAAATATAAAATCCTATTCATTATGCTGTAAATCAGTTTTGTTCGGACAATCTTCACTCTCTAGTCTTCTATTTCATGCTTTGTGCAATTTACCTATTTCTTGGGGCTTTAGTGTTCATTTTTTGCTTGGTTGCCTCTTTACCGAATCTTGACATGTTTTCTATTTTTAAGTTTGTCTACACAATTCTTTTGCTCTTGATTTGTGTCCCATTATGCATGTATAATGGATTCTGCTCCATAGTAAATTTAGTTTCAAGGAAAACTTAAAAATATCTAATAATTTAAAAATTTTGTAGTTCAACAAATTGTCTAGCTTGTTATTTATTGCTAACAATAAATATCAAACAAGTTGGCCATGAGAACCATGCTCCATAAGGGGGAAAATGATCTTTGCACTACCAGATTGAGTGGAGTAGTTGTTGTACTCAATGTTTTTAAAATCAACCTCAAAAGGTCGAACCAGGGTCGAACCGGGATTGAACCGGTGACTTTCATAAAATCAAAATGAAAAATATACATTTATAAAGAAGGGAAAAAATGAAAAGCAAATATTGAAATCAAATCACAAAACCATCAAAAATATTTCTATAAGCAAATTTCGATCACAAGTGCAGCAAAAATCAAACAAATTTTTAAAAAACCATAGGCTTTGGCTCCATTCAATGGTCGACAAACTTGTTCTCTTCATTAATTCATTTGCCTCTCTCTCTCTCTCTCTCTCAAATGTATTAACCATTTTGTGGGTTTAATCCCAAACATAGTTTTCCTTAATCTGAAGCCTTATTTGTGAATTGCCTTCTGCTGTTTCTGGGTATTGATTTGTGAACAAAAATGGTTGCAAGTTCATAACTGTCTCTTCCATTTTTACCGTTTCAAAGTTTTTGCCTATATGCACTAAGTAACCTTATATTTTGATTTAGGTTGCAAATGGATGGATACAGTAGAATTCAGGAGGAAAAGAACGAAAAATGATAAAAATGGAAGCAAGTGAAAGTTCAAAGACCAAGTTGCAAATAATCCAAAGATGAGAAGGGCGATGGAAATATGATTTGGCAATGCTAGGGGTCAATTGATTGCAATTAGAAGTCAAAAGAAGTGAAATATGATCATAACATTTTCACAAGTCGATTTTCAACTGCACAAGAATATTCTAGATTTTTAGTTAGAGATTGTGATCTATTTTTGACCTAGTAAACTTTTGAATTGGGAAAGAACTATTTCAAGTAAAACTGTATCCTTCTTGTTAGCTTTCCAACACACTTTGAATCGCCTCAATCAGACATTGGAAGAAAAAGTTATGGCCAAAATATAGAAAACTGTCTGGTAAAAAAAGGGTAGGAACCATGCAGTCGCATGGTGTTAATTGCATGTGGTCGTACATAGGTGTGCAGGGAATTTCAGGTATGAAATTGATTCAATGTTGCAACCATGACTTTGTACGTTGCGGTCACATAGAACAACTCTGGTTGCGATTTTTCAGTTTCATAATTCCATTCAACCACTTATGGAAACAAATCTCTACACCATATATAAGCACTAAATCTTGTCTAAGATCGGGAGAATGCCCTCATACACTTTTCTCTCATCTTGGTGCTCAAGAAACTCTATGAAGAACTAAAATCGAGGTGAAGCTAGGAATGAACTCTTTGGATTTGGTAATTTCACATCCATTATTTCATGTATTCTGGTTTGTCATTGTTAAACAATTCTAGTATTTAGATTTTCATTCTTATGATATTACATTGAAATCGGTTTAACATTTACAAGATTTTTCATGGATTCAGTCATAGTTTTTTCATTGTTAAATTAAATTATTTGTTGAGTTTCAATTTCAATTACCTATTGTTGAGATTGGTTTAACTTTTATCAAATTCCTTATAAATCTTGTCATGCTCTTTCTATCGAAAGATTGAAATAATTCTTGAATTTTAAACTTAATATTACTTTATTGACGGATTAATTACTGCATTATGCTTGATGTATATGGTAGATCTTTGATCTTGTTCCAACAAAAATGTGCGAATATGTTATAAGTCTAAATTCTAGGATTGCAGTGTGAGTTAAATTGATCTTTATTATTAAATCTTCCGATTGGAGAGTTGGGATGAAAAATCTCCAATTGAGTAATAAATGTGATTGATCCAATCCAATTGAGGGAATTCCAACACTTCGTCATCTCAAGACATTAACCTTAATTTCATTACTTTAACATTGAATTCGCCTACACATTTCAAGAGGACAATCAACCTTTTTGGATTCTTCGATTAATTTTCCATCTCCTTGTGGAATCGACACACCAAAGCTATATTACAACTATCGCGTTATTATTTGGGCGTAATGAATAACTGAGTAATCCGTTGAAGTATCTGCCATGTTGTGAAATTTTGTGCGCAGTCCATAGTATAAAAGATATGCCTGTGCCTGCTTAGGAATGTCAATTTTTGGACAGTTCTTAAACGTGCTCTTGAACCTCTCCCATACCTCGAAATATGTCTCAATATCCGTCTGCTTGAAAGTATAAACTTTATTCCGAATTTGATGGACTCGAGATTGCAAGAAGAATTTCATTGTAAAGTTTTGCAACATGTCATTCCAAGATAATATGCTCCCTGAAGGTAATGAGTAGAGCCATGCTTTTGCACTATCCTTCAAAGTATGATGGAATAAACACATTCAAAAGACATCTAATGACAGCCCCTCATGGCTGATGACAACACATAACATTAGAAAAGTTGGATATGCTCGTGTGATTTTTTCGTAGTTTTCTCGAAAGGTTTTATGTTATGATGATTCTGGAAGAGATTGATGACACTAGTATGATTTAGAAGTTAGCCTATTCGAAGGATGAAATGATAGGAGGTAACACTAGTACATGCATTGGATTCACATAATCTCCTACTAGTACTGGATCCTCGTTGGAAACAGGTATCTATAGAGCTAGTGGTGGTTGTTAAATCAAATGCTGAATATGATTTTTGATTTTGATTCTCAACCATTAGCTTGCTTCTCTTTGTTCTCTTCTATGTTGTCTAAATGTTCTTTCAATTTTGGGGTCTACTGGAGTTGGATAATCTTGTTAGAATCTTGTGGAAGCTGATGACAACTTGAAAGAAGTGAAACAGAAAGAATTCAGATAGTATAATGAATAACCTAAAAAAAGGAGAAAAAGAAAAAAAATATCGAATCTAATATAAACTAATAAACTAAAATTAAAACTATTATTTCTTGACAACGACACCAAAAACTTTTTTTTTGTAAAATCCCTCAAGCGCACGGGTTCGTTGACAAGTAATAGATAATGTAAGTTTAGAGTTATTAGCCCATGAGGAATAGTGTTTAATTTTGATCTACTAGTTATTATCAAGTTCGATAAAGAGTAATATTAAAAGAGATTTTTTTTTGTGATTTTGTAATCTAACTTTAACTAAGAAAGCAATTAAGAGTGGTTTTTAGCAAATATGTGATGAATGTGTTGGATTTCTGAATCCCATTATTAGTGTTATTTCCAATTCTCGACCCATAAAAAATAGTGTTATTTCCTGAATGTTAATGAAAATCAATAATTCAATTTATTTAATATCATTTTCCAAGAGAATCAAACCTATGCTTAACACAATCCGATTTTATTCGTAGTCTAAATTCATATGAAAAACATGCATTTGATGACATGATTTTTCACGCGATTGCAAACGCTATACATATTATTCATAATATCTATTGTCCATGTGTTAAATATGCAGTATTTTACCTATTGTGAGCCTCCCAATACTATAAATAGGCAATAAGTTATCTAAATAGTGATCGACCATTCAAATAACACGATGTAGATGCATAAATAATCAAGAAACTCAAGAAATTACTAAATTAACGAGTCTTGAATTAAGAACAACTAATAAGGTTCGTCATCTATCTAATACAATAAAAAACTTAGTCTAACATTTTTATAATTAAATTACACAAGAATAATTGAAAAAAAATATCAATTAGGAATAAGAAAAATTAATTAGGAGTTTTTTTTATTTTTTATGTTCTAGACTTAAATCTTGAAATCGAGCTATGAATTTTCAAAATCCTTTTATTATTTACCTTGGATAGATATATAGACTTATTCTTTACCGCCAAAATATGTAAAATATGATGAAATTTGGGTTGAATGCAGGATCTACATTCTGGTCGAATTTTGGTATTTAAAAGATGCTGAAAAGATTGCATTGAATTGTTACCAAAACAAAAATAAGGAGAATCGGATTTTTTCCATTTAGGTATAGCCAAGGCACGTAGCTGGCTTGCTTGGGGAGCCTCAGAGCCAAAAGTACCTCCTCTGCAGGTCTAGGCACGCGCCAAGGATTTTACTGATCAATTTTCAGTATTTTTTTATCATAACTTTCTTTCTCAATATTCGATTGAGGTGATTAAAAATGTGTTGGAAAACTAATTCTTGAGGTGATTAAAAATGTGATGGAAAGCTAACTAAAAGGGATACAAGAATATCATTTTTCAAATTCGCAATTTGCTATGCCAAAAAGGGTATCAATTTGAGGCTAAAAATTCAAAGTTATACTCTTTTGGATAGAAATTGATGTTTGATAATATTTTGACTATATTTCATTTTTTTTATACTTCTTTTCTCATCCAATTGACCTATAGCACTCTCAAATCTTCATCTTGAGGTCCGTCACAACTTTTGAATATTTGTACTTTAGTCTCACACTTTTGAATTTCGCCATTCTTCTCTATTTTAGCTCGTTTTCTTCAATTCTTTACCCAAATATGAGTTTTACCTATTAAACACAATAAATAACAAATGAGATAGTATGTCAATTAAGGAATTATAAAATATCATTATTAAAGGCCCCAAATAAGTCCATAAAATACACTTATCAATTAACATTGATCTTTGATTGTAATTGTTTATCTATAAAATCATTTAATCTAGTTTTTACCATCAATAGTTCATTTTCATAGTTTTTAACATTGAGAGGTAGAGTATGAGGTCTTGGCCGTCTGACTATTAGTATATCAATGATGCGAG